ACACAGGATTTGACAGATGTCATCAATCAAACTGCACTGGAAGTCAAGCCTGGCATCTGGGCCCCTCCCACCCCTCCACAGTAGGGCAGGCAGATAGTAGGCCATGTGCTAAGTGATAAAAAAGCGTAGCATGCAGTTCCCAAGGCACACATGGCTTTGAATTTTATTGACAAACAAAGAGGGGACCATGTGCTGCCTGGTAACTGTGAGACTTCAGGAAATCTGAAACACTGGGCCATATTTGTTTGCAGGGAGAGAAATCTGTACAGTTCCTCTCTGTCTTTGCTACCCCTCCCTGCTGCCTGATTGTGTCTGGTTTTCAGAATCCAGCCCCAATCTCTATGGAACAGCAGACCAAAACAGAAGTTTTTATTTTACGGGTACTGCCCAGAAGCACGCGCTGCTAGGGCTAAGCTAGCAGCTGCCCACGCCTGGCGGTAGCAGTTCCTCACTCTGAAGCAAGGTGTCTCGGATTTTCATGGCAATCAGAGAGCCTTTCCTGTTAAACAAACGCTGCCTAATCTACTTCCTGCAGGAGGGACATCTGTACTCACTGCAGCCCACAAGCTTCCACTCAGCACAGACAGATGTGCCCCAGGCTCATCAAAGAGTCTAACTCCGAAAGTCCAAGGCCGGCCTAATTGTCTCTAATGTGCTGTGATCCTGCTGTGAGCCGCAACCACACTGCTTTCTTTAGCTCAAGTGCAAGAATAACCATTTTTCAAGTAAGAAGCAGCCTAGATCCCCGATGCTTTTAGCGTAATAATGTAAGGGACTTGCTGAGATAAACCAGGGCACCTGTTTTGTCCCAAATGGTCAAGTGGAATTCAAGGGAAAGCACAACAGAGTCTCATCCACCCCGAAAGTGAATGTCAGCTCTAAAGCCAGAACCCAGCACGAGGGAGACAGACAGACACTGGAAACCTCAGAAAGATTCCACGGATGCCGCTTGAACTATGATTCGTATAACTTGCATAAAAGTTGGGTTTACATGTAATTACTGAAGGAAATAGCTTCATTTCAGTTGTGAATTTTATGTTCTACCCCTTAGTGCTCAATAATTACATTCCCTTGGGTGAAAAAGCCAACAGTCAGAGTAAGCATGTACTTTTTCTCCTTCAGTCCCTTGTTAAGAAGGGCGGTTGGGATGCCAGGAAAGGGGATTTGTCTGGAATTCTCTCGCTAAATGCTTTGTAAAACTTTGTAAACATCCTTTCGGGTCTATATTTGCTTTCCTATGTTGAGGGTCACAGAACTATTTCCCCAACGGGGTGATCCAGATGTACCTCTTAGTAAACCCAGACAGCGTTCTTAAGTTAGGGGAGATTTTGCCACCCGTGTCACTGCTGGATGTCTGAAATTATTTTGGTTGGGCACAGCTCAGGCCTGGGCCCTACTGTCTCCTAGTGGCTTACAGGACAGCTTCCCACACCAAAGAAAGATCTGGCCCAAATGCCAAAAGTGCCAGCGATGAGATTAGTGACAAGATCAGCAGTCAAAATAAATCACACAAGAATATGAGAGGGGCATTTTGGGAACTTCACACAGACCTCAGCCTGTAACTTCCTTCTCCAACTTCCCCCTCAAGAACAGGCACTGAAAGAACTTTTTTTTTGGTCCTGCACATCCTAGCAATATGCATGTAAACAAGGGATTAAGAAACTAAACAGATGAAAGTAGCTCCAGTGAGACTTCAGCCGGAACTAATCAAGGGCAAATGGCCAACGACAAGAAACCAAGCCTGAGCGAGACCACGTAGGATAGACTGTCCTTGCCCAGGCCCTGGCTTCCTATGCCGGCAAGGAAACCCATGCACCAGGCTTCCTCCTTCTGTCAAAGTAGGTGGAGAACGCACTTGGTGGCCACCTAACAGATTTTCATTACAAAAATTTTAGGGAAGCAGGGCCCGAAATGTTACTAACAAACAATAGGTTTGAAAGTCACCGTAATAGTCCAATGATCACCCTATCGGAAAAACATAGGGTCCATAGCCAGGGAAGGCTGGTGACCCAAGATGATAATGCCCAATTCCAACCATGCCCTCGAATCACCCGATGAATGTGAAATCACCACCATAGCGAATGTGCACCCAATGCCCACCCCAGGCAAGTGATTCATGAGCTCTGGAAAAGAGGCTCTGGGACCTCAGTATTCCAGGCTACAGAATCCCTTCTCTTCTACCTGGAAAAGGAAAATCTAAGCAAGGTACAGCTCCCAAACTCAACTGTCAGACAGTTCAACGGCTGCAGATGGAGGTGGAGAAGGTAGAAAGACTAAAAAAGGAGAAGAACTTTTGGTTACTGAAAAATCTCCATGACCCCCATAAAGACTGGCCCTGCAAACAAAGCACCTCGCAGGTATTATTCTGAACACTTTGGTAACTCATATACTCACAATTTAGTGAGGTACCAGTGTGTTACTCTATTTTATAGAGGAAAAGAACAATAAGGCAGAGAGAATCACAAGATCTGTTCAAAGTCATGAAGCTAACATCAAATGAACACAAATCCCAAGGAACCTGATACAACAGCCTGCTTTTAGACCCCCAGTTGCGATGCTTCTATATAGAAACAAATCTCTGCATGAGAAAGGGGTCAAGAAACAACTCGTGGTCTAGAGACAACATGAATCATGTCTCCCCTGGGGTCCTCAAGGGGGATCGCTACTCTGCACACCTGAACTTGAGCTGCGTATGCAGGGCCAACCCTCAGCAGAAGGGCACCGGCCAGGCTGATGTGAACCTCAGGGCCCAGGACACTCACCGCAAAGCCCCTAGTCAAGGGGCTTTGTGAAGTGTGAACACTTTTCGATGGTCCCCACACCACATCTCAAACCTGCCATTCAAGATGTTTATTTGTAGCTATTGCTAAATTTAGGCACAGATTGTAGTCCCACCAGCGCATCCTACACATTTTTTCAGTTGTGTTTTATTTTAACTGCAGCTGTCTGTAGATACGACTTTACTTCCTGTCTGATTGTGGAGCAACCTTAGAGGTTATTTGATCCTGTTTGCTTGCTTCCCCTTTTATCTTTCACTGTGGAACAGGGACTAGGAAGCGGAAACAACCAGGAGGCAGACAGGCAGAGGCCCGGCCAGACAGTCTGAGGGTCACGTTATCACCACGTCACTGGGAGGAAAAAACAAAGGAATGAATAAATCTAAAAATGTAGGATGTAAAGGCCAGGTGAGCTTAAACCTCATCACATAAAAGACGGGACTGCCACTGTATATACAGAATATGCTCAGGGATTTCCTAAACGGATGCATATATACAAGGCAACTTTTCATTAAAGAATACAGAAACGTGGACATATTACAGAATTTTTAAAGAAGTAAGCCAGAGTATTGACGAGTACCCTCTTTAAAGAAACACAAGGAATTTCAGCCCCAGTTTACATCAGGGGACAGCAAACTTTGTCCCTGTCATAGTTACTCTGCCACTGCAATGAAAATGCAGTCAGAGACAAGAAGTGAAGGAATGGGTGTGGCTGAGTCCCAATAAAACTTTATTTACACTAACAAGCCAGGTGCTGGCTTTGGTTTGTGGATTGTAGTTTCCTAATTCCAGCTTTCCATCTGCGGTGGGGATGGGCACACACATTAAAAAAAAAAAATTCCAAAGACGGTTGAGACACACTGTGGTTTGTGGCACGTATCCCAAGCTTACTTGAAAATCCTTTCAATAATATAAACTACCATAACAGTGTATCTCAAAGTCAGGTTACAGAAACAGATGTCCATGGACTGAGCTTTACGGGATCCAGCCTGCCACCTGGTGGCAACATAAAAAAACAGCCTCCGTGGTCTACGTGCCTTTCATTTACAACTTACTGGAACAACTTTTTAAAAAACTTGATTGGAGTGTGAGTCCCACAGCGGCATAAGTAATAATAAATACAGTCAATTTCCTGAAATTTCAACTTGTCAAATTCTTCTGGAGAGGTCACAGGGCTTCTTTCTTAGCCAGCCTAACTGCAGAAGGTAATTTGAACAGCAATAGTGGTGTGGAAAAATACCCAAGCGCCTACAATGGAGATGTCTCCTGAAACTGAAAAAGCCATTTTTTTAAAAAACCTAAGACTTGAAAAGAAAGTAACTCCAAAATCCAACTTAAATGGATCCAAGCCGAAGAACCAGATCATAAAGAAATAAGCAAGAGCCATCTACATTCTGCATGGCTTCCCTTGCTCGTTCTCTTGCTGAAAAGGACAAGGCCAGCTGAATAGCAAACTATGTGCAAAGAATCAGGAGACAAAGGTGAAGGGGGTAAACCCAGTCTCAGGAGACACAAGCGAGAAAAAATAGTCTAACACAGCTTGAGCCCACAGGAAAGATGTGTTTGCAGGCTCAGGGGAGGAAACGAACTCTGTGGGGTCCAGGGAAGATGCCCAAGGGCCGGAAGCATTCAAGCTGCTTCTATCAGAATGCGCACAATGTTGCTAGAGTGAGCAAGAGAGAAAGGAAGAGCAGCCGATGGGCTGGGGCAGGAGGTCCCGCGGACCAGCGGATGTTCAGACTTTAGGGTGAAAGAGCCCAAATCCATCAGGCCAAAGAACTCTACACACATTTCCACCCCAGGCATCCCAACTCACCTGCTTCTCATGCACAGCAGGAAAAGCAGGGCTGAGTGGTCTTGGGGATGGCGACAGGCAAGGCCAAGGTAGGACCCAGGCTCTCAGCATCTTAGGATTCCCAGCACCTTATCTTTGTCCCCACAGCCAAGGGACTGTGGCCTCTAGCCATCACCTTTCTCCGAAATTCAAAAGGGCAGAAGCACTATAAAGCTTTGGATGGGTGACAGGGAAATTTGTAATGAAGCAAGTTATTCCACGGCAAAAATTGCTTCGGTGCCCCACTGCGATTTCAACAGGAAGCACGGGGTCAGCAATCAGCCCGTCTGGCGCACATACATCACGCCGCCCGCCCGACAGAGGAAGTCCGCGGACAGCCACCTGTGAGGCACGCTTCCAGCCTTGGCCTCGCTGGGGATGCACCGTACCTGGATTGCTGGTGAGGAAGGCGAGCGGGCTCTCGCCCAGGTCCGCAGGGCCGTCCACTCGGTGGGGTGGGCTCTCCAGCAGCTCCACTCCTCCCTCCAGCTCGGGGCAGGTCCTCACCAGGAGGCCCAGGGAGGGCTGGGAGAGGAAATCTTTGAGCATAGATGAGTTTAGCGTCCCGGCGGTGCGATTATTGATCTCAAGAATCTCATCTCCCGCCTTCAGGCCTGCCAACGCAAGATGGAAAGTTTTTAATGTCACACACACACAAATCAGAACACAACAGCTTAGAAGTTCTGCCAGAAAGGGGCAGACAGCAAGCACTCCTGCTAGGGGAGGAGTTTCTTGGCTCATGGAGGGTCAAGAAACACTTCAGCACAGGTGCGGCTGCAAACGTGCCGCAGCGCTCAAAAGTGATCAGCTGATCACACGGGCCTTGGCTTCAGAAGGTTCTAGATGCCCATCCTGACTTCAGTACATCACCTAAACAAACTCCCCGCTTCAATCTGTACGTCCTTCCCAAGTGCTAATTCCAGCTATTTTCCTATGATGCTACAGTCTGCAATTGTATGTTTTACACACGCTCGTGTAACGCTGCACACAGGTGTCCAGCAAGCAAAAGTCTGCTGATCATTTCTATGAAACCAAAATGTAATATACATCCTCTGGATACAACCACCCAAGTAAGGCTGTCTCATCCCAAACGCATCTCGAGCCAACAGTTTACAGAAATGCAAGATTCCCCTCCCTGCCTTTTCTGTAAACTACATCAAGATCTTGGGCTGACTATCTCCTGTTAGGTCCCAAAAGGGCTTCTGATACTTTCACAAACTATACTGGGAGGGGGGCCAGACTTTGGAATCAAAGGAACAGCCAAGAACCAGCCCGATCTGGAGGAACAGGAAGTCGTGACTGACACTGGAGAAATTCAAACTGGTATCCAAGGAACATTCCAGAAGTGTGAGAAAGGGAGTGGTCAGGGAAGAACATGAAGGAAAACAGAGTATCTTCTCAGCAAAGAGGGGAAAAGGAGTCTAATTTCTTACTGATACACTGACGTACAAAAGCAAAGCCAGGCGCAGTGGCACCCGCCTGTAATCCCACGTTCCAGCCCAGCCTGGACAACTTATTGGTGGAGTGAGACCCTGTGTCAAAATAAAAATAAAACGGGGCTGTGGATGTGGCTCAGTGCAAAGGCCCTGGGTTCAATCCCCAATATTGGTGCATGTGGGGAATCAGAAGAAAGAAGTGAGTGAAAGGCAAAGGCAATGAAAGACTGCAGGAACGAGAAGACACTCAGATCCTCGGGCGCCGCAATCCCACCCCCAGTTCTGAACAGAAATGATTCTGCAGAGTCTCACTTCTCAGTTTCACCGAGGCACACCCCTGGCCATCCTCACTCATTTCCGAAATACTTAAAATCGACCCTCCAGGAGCCAAGAAACAGTGCGGATGGGAAGGGAAATTGTGTCTCGGCGCGAAGCTGACCGTTTCCATTTTTAGGTAAAAGATCTGGGGATCACAATCTCTGAATCAAAAATAGGAAATCTCCATATGCGAAAAGCAGGGTTTGGGGTGTTCTTTTGTTCTTTTCGGGAAGCCAGCTAAGTATCTAGAGCAATTAGATACCACAAAACATAAGGATAAAAAGACTTAAACAATAAAGATTGATATGAGGTTCTGCAAAAAGAAGTTCCTGGCTCACATAACTGCCAGAGTAGGAACGTGCAGTAGGTTAAACGATAAACCCACATGTCAGGACCTATAATCATGACCTGATTAGAAGAAGGATCTCTACAGTTGTAACTAAGTGAAGGAATTTGAGAAAAGACCATGCTGGATTATCTGACGGGCTCCATGGAGAAATGTGCTTATAATGACACACAGAAGAGACTCAGCAAGAAGAAGAGAAGCCACATAGAGAGGGACACGGAGATTGATGTGAGGCGGCCACAAGTCAAGGACACCCTGGAGCCACTGAAACTGGCCACGATGGAAAGTGTTCTCCAAGAGAGCCCATGAAGGGTACACAGCCTGTGGATGCCTTGATTTAAAATTCTGCCTTCTCCAGAACTGTGAGAAAATAAAGTTCTATTGTTTTAAGCCATCTGGTTTATTGTACTTTCACAAACAGTCCCGGTGTGCCCTGGCTAGGTGTTCTCAGTACGAGTAAGTACCAGGAGGCTGCCCATGAAGTGGGCAGTTGAGACAATAAATCACTAGAATTACTAGACACTAGACACTAGAATGTCTTCACTAGACAAGGCCTCACTAGGGTCTTTCTGTCACTACGTAATGGCTTTGTGACTGTTACTGAATCTCCCCCAGCCTCAGATTCCTCATACCTAAGAAACGAACATGCACAACTGACTTGCAAGGAAGTGAACTAATCCCATATAGAACTCAGATCATAGTCATGGCACAGTGAAGATATCCAATAGACAGTAGCTCTCGATATTTAGCAGAAGAAAGAGGAAAACTCTTCTTTCTAATAGAAAATTGTAACCTGCTCAGAAATAAATCCTCAGCTGATCAAGGAAATAATACCTGACCATGGAACAAGCTGTGAAATGTTCATGCTGTGTACAGTAATATAACATGTGGCTGTTTTGACCAAGTTCTGTCCTGTATGATCACTATGGGAAAAAAAAAAAAAAAGTAAGAAGCAACGTCTCTCAGATGACTCTGAGAGTTAGCATGCTGGGCCAAAACAAACATGGCCGGAGTGAAAGCGGGTAACGTGTGAAATAACCCAGCTAGGTACAAAGGTCATTTCATTGTGTACAGCCAACAGGAGGGCCAATGATGGGGACTGGATAGGAACGGTAATTTGGGGCTTAACTCTAGTGTGTGGTATCCGAGAGCCCCGTGTGACGGACAAAAATGAAGATAAAAAGAAAAGGCTAAGTGAATGCTAACAGAATATTCAGTCCCAATTAGGCCGCATGCCACTGGCCTCTCTCTGGCTGCCCCACATTCTGGTCATTCTAACAGGGCTACTGCCCTGGGCTGTGTCCGAAGGGCAACATCTAGACTTGTGTTCTACACTCTAATGAACAGTTAACAGACCTGGAAGTGGTGAATCTGGATAAGACAAGACCCAGCGGTAATAGCCTGAGCAGTGCAGCATCCGGGTCTGGCTGCAAAGAAGAATCAGGCTCAACTAGAAAAGCAGAAACAGAGAGAAGGGGGCAGTTCACAGCCAGAAATAATGCACAAAGAGCGTTACGGTGCAGGGAGCCCTGCATTAGGGGACAGTCTTTATAACTAAAGACCAGATCTAACAGGTAATGCTCCAAATCTCTTTCTTGACACAGCCTTCCCTGTGCAGAGCGCCGGGGTAGTGCTCGTGGCCCGTCGCTTTTGTCAGTTGGCAAGAAGTCAGCGCCTTGGGGGAGGGGGCTGCAGCAGACGCCTGTTTTCATCAAACAGCAGAGTTCTCGGATTGAGAGAACTAAAACAGGATGTGACTGAAACCAGCACTGCGCGTTCCCGCCCCCGTGGCACGGCGACGGGCACTCGTCGTGCAGAAAGAGATAAAGATCAGCCTTTGGGTTCGAAGAGGAATAAACGCCGTCATCTCTGCTCTGAGCTGATACACAGCTCAGTGTCTGCGCCAATCTCAGCCTCCAGGCTTGAAAGCACTGAAGCACAAAGAAGGCAAGTCCTCCTCCTTGGACATCAGCAGAACAGCGAGGCTGTGTCTTCTCCCCTTTCCACACCTTCGCCGTTTCCGTGTGCAGTGGGGCTGTTTACTGTGCTTCTGCAATTCGGGAACACAGGGCACGGTGGCCTGCACAGGGACTTTTAAGAAACCACCACCCGGAGCCACGCTGCATCCGAATGTGGAAGGGGCGGCAAGACAGGCGCTCCTTCATTCCCTGGCGGCCCATGCGCCACTCTCTGCCGGGACACCCAGATGTGCTGACTGTGATACTCCACGTGTCACCCTGCCACTGCCTCAATAAAAACATTTCAAGGCAAGAAGAAAGAAATGAAGGTGGGCTCAAGCCCGCCCTCACCACCCGATTTGTTCATGGTAACCATGGCGGATGGATTAGTGCCCCCTAAAATTCCTGGCTACTCAGGGCATCAGGATGTGACCTTCTTTGACAAAATGTTCAGATATATACTGTAGAGATAATAAACCCAGTATAATTACTATAATTATAATATAATTAATTACAACATTACAGCTATAATTAAGTTACAGTGAACTCCTAACGATTTAGAGTGAGTGCTAAACAGCACGCTGCTTTTAGAAGGTGCTGTAAAGATACAGCAGGACATGTGGGCGAGGCTACGGATGGACTACAGAGGTGAAGATGGGATGATGAGATCTACAAGCCAAAGAATGCCAAGGATGGCTGGTTGCCACCAGAGGCAGGAGGAAGCATGTGACAGGCACTTCCCTGAGTGGTTCCAGAAGGATCTGCTCCAGCCAACACCCTGATTTAACTTCTAGCTTCCTCACTCGCAAGAGGCGAGGTTTCGGTGGTCTTAAGCCTCTAAATTTGTGGCGATTTGTTATGGTAACCATAGGAAGCTAACGCAGTGAGCAAACCTGGTCTTCCCTGAGCATCCGTCAGGGGCACTGATTCTAGGAGTCCCTCAGAAACAAAAATCTGAAGATGCTTAAGTCCCTTGTACAAAGTGGTATGGTATTTCCATATTGTCTACACACATCCTTCCGTATACTTTCAATCAGCTCCACATTGCCTATGATACCTAACGCTATGTAAACAGTTGTTACACTATAATGGTTAGGGTCTAATGACCAAAAAAAAAAGGCCAAAGATTTTCTGCAGTTGGTGGAATCCACAGATGCAGAAGTCATGGAAATCGGAGGAACACCTGTCACCTAGGATGTAAAGATTCTCCAATGGTAGAAAGAGGATGGAGAGCCGGGGTTCAAGACTAGCCCCAGTGCATTCTGAGCCCTTTGAGAGCCAAAAGGAAGCAGGCAGGACACACAGAAGAAGTCTTCAGCGTGGGCCAAGAAGGCTGGGTCTTGAAGCTCCAGCTTGGTTCTCATTTCTGCAAAGACTCTGCAGGAATAGAAGCAATAGAACATCTGCTTCAAAGCAGCTTTGCAGGTTCAAGCAACAGCTTTGACCAGCAGGGACCAAAGCAGAGAGATCTTCCTGCCAGCTCTGCTCCAGAGAGACCCTCCAGCCCTCCATCGCCTGGAGGGTGAAAAACAGCCACTTGTGACTCCAATGAAACTTCCACCAGCCCCATGGAAATGGGCTCAGGATCGAGTTTAAAATTAAGAGCACAACCTTTCTTGCACACCTACTAATGGAGTACAATCCATATTCCTTGAGTGAATTTTCAATGAGACAATGCTCAAATATTCTTTGTGTGAACCCTCTGGACATATCTTCCTCATCCTCCAGTGGAGAAACCCAGAGAGAAGTTAAAAGACACAGAGACATTTCTAGACTTACCTTTCTTGGAAGCTAATCCAGTTTCCTTCACACTGTTCACATAGAGCCTTCGAACACCATCTTCTTCCACAGAAGAAAGTGAAAACCCTGGGAAACACAAAGACAGACCAGCAGGGCTCACACCTTCTGAATGTTTCACAAACGACAGGAAGTACCTGCTGGGAACTAGGCATGTTGAATGTTTTGGGTTATACTTTGGAAAGAGTAGGGGTTTTTTACCCCTTTGTTTGTACTGTTTTACAAAGCAGAAAAATGTATTTTTAGATCACTCTAAAAGAAGTCGTTATTCACAAAAACAAACCTCACCAGCTACATCAGTCTTTGCACTGCTCCTATCAACACAAGTGGGAGGAAATTATTTTGCATCACCTTGCTTCCTGTCGTTGTCAGGAAGAAATGTAAATGTCATCGTTTTGCCTTTTCCACTCTCCCCCACGTACATAATAGAAACATTAGCACAAAACACAAGGTCCTTTACACTTTCCTCAACAAATCTGTATCCCAGGGCACATACAAATTGTCCTGTTATAGGACGTATGCTCATCCATCCAGTGCTTTACTGCAATATAATTGTGCAAACAGGGACAAGTAGTGACTCACTTTACAAATCCCATTTCCTGTTGAAACTGCTTAGCTGACTTCTATGCTAGTAACGATCCCAAGATTATCAGCTAATCAGTCTTGGGCTTTGCTGCCTCTTCAGAAAGGGAGACGGAGCGATCAGTTCAGGGTATCCTGGGTGCTCCCAACCCTACGATTACAAGACATGGTCACCTATTTCTAGACAGCCTCACGGAAAATTCTTTCCTAATTAGCTAATTGATTGTCTGTACCAATATCTACTTCCCTGAAGGAAAAAGTTCATGGTAGATATTTCTACAAGGGAACAAGCACGATTGTAAAGAGCTGCCATCACTTCAGTTCTACAAGAAAATGATCCCATATTAGAGGTGTTTGTCTCCATGCTGGAGGCAAGGGAGACCTTCACACCCCAGCCCCCTCAAGGTGCAAACTTCTGGCCAACGCACTGCCCACTGCCTTAGACCCTGGGACTCCCTCACATGGAGAACAGCACAAGGCTGCCCTGATGGCGCTCCAAACTCTTCATTTTGTTCTCCTATTTTGCATTTCATTTGTATAGAAATTTACAACCTTTACATTAAATTTCAAGAAGCCCCACAAAAATATGTTTATACATGAACCATTTCAGAGACATCAGCCTCCACAAAGGTGTGTTTATTTGTATCTCAGGAAACTTTTTTTCCCCTTTTATCTATTACAATAGACACAAAGGGAAGGGCTATGTCACAGGAAAGAATGAATAGGATTCACCAAAAATAGGCATTTCCTTTCTGAAGTTCCGTAATGCTATAAAATTGTGAAGTCATTTTTTTTAAAAATGAGTACCCTAATGGGGTGCTGGGGGCCAGCTTACTAAGTACTGGATAATGGAAGAGATGGAAATATACTGGGGGCCTGCTGCATGTCACCTTAGGCCAAACTATGCAGTGTGATCAAAAAGTGTAGTGAATATCTAAAACTTTTAAAAAATGTATTACAGTAAGACACATTACCATTTATTCCCCTCGATGTGAATCCCCTTGCTTCAAGCGCATTTATCCCATTCCTCCTGCCACTTTCTGAAGGAATTCTGGAAGTCTTCTTTCACAACTGTCTTTTGTTGTGATATCAGTCATGAATGGGTTCAAAACATTTGCCTTAGGTCATTGTGGCTTTGGGGTGGAGCCGGAAGTTGTATGGTGCCAGAGCTGGTGAAGGACACACCAAAATGCTTTTATGAGCCTGACTTTCTGCTGGACGGCACTGGGCAGTGACCTTTCACTGTATTTTTGATGACACCGTGTAAGGTTATGTACGAAAGGACTTCCAGAACTGCTTCAGAAAGTGGCAAGAATGTGGGGCTCACTGTTTTGGGGGGATTCTGAGGGGGATTTGTGGCAGGGTGTCATTTTCTGTAATAAATTTTAAAATTTAAACATTCAATGTGTATTTTGATCACGCCTCTTAGATGGCGGTGACTCGGGTATACATTTAATCTATTCCTCCTCTGCTGGGTCTCTATCTTTAATAATCAAAAAGTTCAAAACAAGAATGGGTCGGGGAGCCATGTGGCCTGAAGACTGCAGGGGATGGAGCTGCCCCCGGGGATGGAGCTGAGCAGTGGATTGGACTTGCCACCTCAGGGACATCTCCTCGACTGGAAAGAGGACAGAAGAAAGGGTAATGAGCATAAATTCCTTTTTGAAGACCGCTCAAGGAAGCCAAAATGTACAGATGTGGACGGCCTGTGCTGGGTGGAATGCCACAGGCCACCTGTTTAGGGGAGCAGGCCAACACGAGCTGCTCTTAGGGTTCCGGAAAGACGGCCAACCTCACACCTCACTGTGCAGCACATGCACTGCGGTGGGGTCTCAACAACGATTCCCTCCATTAACAGAGATAAGGAAAATACTGAACACCCCCAGCTGGTTTATTTTGAGGTAAATGAAACACATGATGATCTTAACCGTTTGTCAGCAAAGTCAGATTTGTCTTTCCTTTTGAATAGGAGAGCGACGTGCTAATTCTCAGCAAAGGACTCAGCACAGTTCAACTCTACAGTTCAGTGACTGCCAGCAGGGGTCAGAGGAAGCTCAGTCTACATAAACCCAAAGTGTCCACAGACCAGAGGGCTGTCCGCTGTAAAACGCGGGAAGGCAGCATGAGGGGTAACTTGAACAATGATCTTGAGAAGGAAGGAAGTGATCAAGACCAAGTGGTAGATCTAAGGAGACCAAACCCTGTATGAGCAACGAGAGGACCCCTCCCATTGAAACTCAGGGCCGAGGGAAATTCATAACGTGACACCTCACGGAGGAGGACCCAAAACTGGAACCCGGCACAGTGCAGAAACCCACACCGTGCGGAGGACACAGGATTAAAGACAAGAGGTACCCAGGGAAAAGGAAAGCCCAGCTGCTGCCATGGTGCATACTGTCATCTGAGGTGGCCTATTTGTCTACACATCACGGAGCCTTTGGAAGCTCAAAAAGCCACTCGGGGGATAAAGTGGAGTGAGAAGCAAGAGAGAGAAGTTAAGTGTTAACTCTAAATTTGCTCAGCCAGTTGGACTGTTAGATCTGTTTTCTTCCCTAAAGGTCTAAACTAGAAAGAAGCATTTAGTTTGTATCGTAGCGATGCTGGGGAAGCGTAGCTTTCACACACATTGAACTCAGTCTGTAAAGGGAAGCCACGCTGAGAAAGGTGTGAATCGTGGATGCAGACGGGCTGAACTTAGATTCCTGGGGAGGAGGTTTTGAGGTCCCAGGCAGCCAGGTCTCTTAGGATGGGAGGGCTCATTAGCCTTCCCCATCCATCTGTCATCGGAACGGCTTGTGCCAACATGAACCCTAGAGCGGAAGGGTAGTTTGATTGAGGTTATCAGCCACACATAGCAGGGTCCTTCAAAGCCAACTTTGGGAACTGGGGCCACTGACTGTAACGTAAGGGTCGCGACAGCCCTGAGAGCCTCTTGCAGCAATCCAGCATCACCCCAACCTCCAAGCCATGGACTTTGCATCCGACAAAAGCAGCGTAGCTATGAACAATTGGAAATTAAAATAAAAAACACCTGCCTCTTTACATCAGGTAGTTTGAGAAGCGCTATTTACAATACTGTGTAGATCGATGCCTGGTGCTCTACAATGCCCACCATGTGGGAAGGTTAATGGGTCCTGGGAGCAATGCGGTCATTTTAATAAAAAGTACAAAAACAGGATGTGAAGTACAGGGGTCTCCTCTTACCTGTAGTTTCATTTTCCATGATTTCAGCTACTTCTGGTCAAGTTTTATTACAATATAATATTACAGTTGTTCTATTTCATTATTACTTATTGCCAATCTCTTGATGTGCCTCAAGTATAAACTAAACTGTATCACAGGTATGTACGTGTAAGAAAAACCAGTTCACAGGGCTTGGTATGACCTGCAGTCTCAGACCTCTATGGACCATCATGGATCCTCACCATTTAACAGGGAGCTACTACTATGCAGTGGTTTCATGTCCAGCTCCTATTTCTCAGTCCCCGAATCTTTCAGTCTTAGAGTAACAGGCCGAGTCTTGAAATCCAGCCTTCTCTTGACCCTTGCTCGTTTGCTAGTTCGCTCTTGCTCAACAGAAATGAAGTACACTAAAAAGAAAACACACCACCATCGCAGGGCTTGTGATGTTGGAGGCCCAGACACTTATACCCCTGCCACCAGTTACTGGTCTAATCACTAAGGTCACACTTCTGCCACATAATAAGCCTTTCATACACACTGCTTCCCTGTCATCAGAAACATCCTCCAGCCTTTCAGATGCAAAGAGTTTTAAGGTCAAGCAGTAAATAGCGTGAAGGTGTAATGCAAGTGGCCAGGGCTTCAAAATTACATCCTCTTCATTAGACCAAAATACTCTAGTGAGTATACTGAGGTGAGGACTGGCTGCCTGCAGAAGAAGGTGCAGAAGGAATATATCACCCCACGACTCAGTAAAGGGTTTAAAGATTCTCAAACTCTAAAAGCTTATTGCTTCAGAGAAATATTAAGTGTGCATATGTGCTGGTCCAGGAATTACGATCTTCTGCCGTCACAGAGCAGGACCATATTTGTCCGCTCCTCTGGAGCGAGGTGTGGCCATGTGGCTCACTTTGCCCAATGATTGTGCATCAGCCAGCATGTGCTTTACCACTTCCTCTCTTTTCCCTCTGCAAAGCAATGGGCAGTGACCCAGGTGGCAGCTGCTCCAGGGCTGGGTGCTGCTATGAGGTCAACCTGGAGTCCCAGGCAACCCAAAGAGGATGCACGGTGAAGGTGAGAGAAATTTCACTGTTTTAAGGTTATGGTGTTGGTGACTGCTTGTTACCTCAGCTAACCTTGCCTCTCCTGACTGATACTGCACGGTATGGCTTTCCCCACTTATTTTACTCAGTCCCAACTCTGCTACAATTTAAGCCATATAATGAAATGCTAAGAAAAGAAGACTAGTCTTAAAATATACAGGAAGGATTACATATTTTGCTGCACCAGAATTTAGACAAGTGTTAACCTAGCAGGCCCGACTGCAAATCTCTGAAAGTTCTGCTTACTAGTATGGCCCTTGCCTGGCATCTGGGAACCTGGATTTAGGGAGAATTCTCAGCACCCCAACATGATTCCTCATGGCTTACCTATATGACAACGTGATTTATGGTCTGTGCTAGAACTTAGTGCCTATGTGATCAGCCTTGCAATAAAAGCTCTGACTCTCTAGAGGATTTCCCTAGTGATCAGCATCTCCCAGGTACTGTCACGAACTTGTTGCTGGGGGAAGTAGCACCACACTCTGTGACCCCCCTGGAAGAAACACAGACACTGACTCTCTGCTGACTTTGTGTTGGTTCATTGCCCTTCTAGGGAATCACCAAACTAATAGGTGACCTCAGGGACCCCCAACCAACACCAAAATAAGTTCCTTTAACTTTACTTGTGGGGAGAAAGGTGGATCATGCCTACGCTTGTGAGAGTGGTGTAAGCAGATAATTCTTTATATGTGAGGCACAGCATTCTATAAATCTACTCCCACTACCTCGTCGTCTTCTTAGGATGGTAAAAGCCCAATGATTCACTAAGAAACGTACAGCCTTTGCAGGTACATGTTTAACGTTTCATTTACAAAGCACCCCAGTTTTGTACTACACACCAACAAAGTGTTATTGTGCTTCAGTCGTTGTGCAGTCTTTTCTGAGCAACAAACTATGGGAAATTCTGTAAAAGCACTCGAAGTGTAAGACACTTATTTTTTAAGTGAATGGCTATTATGTTTGACACATAGTTTTTTTTAACCTAATTTAAATAAGAACTTCTCTTAGCACGGTTCTAGATCTCTAACCTTTATTGATAGACTTATACATGAAACTGGGGTTTCCTGTTTACTTCTGAAATCTTTTAGGAGCAAGTGCTTCTTACATGAACATTATTAACGATTATCATTTTAGCCACTTTTCTGCAAATGGATAGTATGCATCCACAGTCTCTTCTTGTGATGTTTAGTTTAATTCCGTATTTTAAAGCAGAAACATTAGCTATGTCTTGCAATATTCCTACCAACAATAAAATTAGTAGAGGCTTCATGAAAAAAGAAAGAAATGTATAGCCTTCACAGTACCAGGAGTAAACATCTCCTTTTTCTAGCTCAGGAGTTTCCACAGCACAGGAGCCAGATGTGCTGTGTTCTAAACAGGCTCCAAAGGTTTTTCACTGACTTGTAAATAAGTGCACATTTTCACTGGGAATGCTTTAACTGGAAACACAAACCCCAAAGATCAAAGGCAAATAAACCTACCGTAATTATCAGCTGCTGTATCTGACTTCTCAATCTGGATATTCTGAGTGACTTTTGGACAAATTTCAATTTCTTTATACAGCTGCAAAGGACAAAGACAATCTCATTAGGATTTCATGATAAATAACTTCTCTGAAATGGTCACCATTATGTAAATCTATTTTTGTCACAACTGATATGTGATTAAAAATTCACACCACTCCACAGAATTTTTTTGAGTGGAACACATTAAAAGTAAAAGTAGAAACACAGAGCTCCTATCTCCTAATTAATCTGTATTTGTCTACTCCCAGTCTACACCCATCACAGACCTGAAAACAAAAGCTGAGTTAATCAAAGTCAAAACCTCTGGTACTGGTAGGGATCTGTTTATAAAAACCAGAAAGAGATTATAAAGATGTTGTTGGCATGTGGTCCATGAATACAGGGGAAATCTCTGAGAATCTCTTCCTCTCTCTGCATACATCACTTTATGTGAAAAGTTCTGGGTATCACAAATAGGTAGAGAATACTAAAACCATTGAAACTGACTACAAATTATGTAAATGGGAGATACTCTCTTTTAACTGCTGAACCATATCAAAATTAACCACAAAACTTAAATACACAAATTAATCAGTCATTTGGACACCCAAGAAAGCCTAGAAAAAGTTTTTGTAAAAACTCAAGATAAAAATAATGTATAGTTCACATATCAGAAACACTGTCCTTTAATTGCTATTTCATTTTCCTATATCTGGACCTATCATCTTCAAGACAATAACATATAAAACTCCAACTATGTGTCTTTGCCTCTCATGCCCTGTAAGACACTATGATCTCCATTCTACAAATGAAGAAAGTGAGGCGGGAAAGACAGTCATTTCCTACTTTCATAGATGAGTATGTGCAGAGCTGAGATGTGAACCTAGATCTTGCTGACAGCATAGCAAATTCCAACAAGAGCAATGCATTAAGGGTAAAGCTGAAGGAGATTTTATTTGTATACTTCAGCAATATTTCACACAAATTCTCAAATTAGAAGAAATCAGTTATACTGATTTTTAATCCAATATCATCACCAAAATTATACACACCAAATTCTTGAAAGTTTACCATGTCTAGCGTAACACCACACAGAGCTCAATAAAACACTACCTGCTGAGCTCTCTTCAACTTAGTTGGAGCCTGGGCTTTATTTTTTTAAGCATTCCTTAGAGCCAAGCTCGGCCCCCAGGTGGCAGTATATAACTGTCTGTTCCATCTCTGTGAGGATCCAGTGGGACTACTCTATAGCTCTGTGAACAACCTTTGTTGTTTTTCCTGATACCGCCTACTTTTCTTTGGAATTGCTGTGAAAGACTTCCTGCCTTTTGCTGATCTCAGACACCTTGGCATCATACAGACAGGCTCCTGGGCCACACTACCTTTTTTATGTGAGTTAAAATCTGGATTTACAAAAAGCTCCAGTGAACTATACAAAACCTGGGAAGGAGGCAGGCAGGTCGGAGGGATGGAGATTGGTATATGCACCAGTTCTCCGTATGAATGTGCTTAGTATGAATCACAAACGTATACTAATACATTTTTTAAAAAAACAATAGCCTGTGCTTAAAAATATTTTTTCAATGCAACCACACTATCTGGAGCTAGAAAATTTAAAATTCAGTTGTTGCACACATAAATACTTTCAACAATGAAGCGTCACACATATTTCCTTTATCGATTAAATCAACATTGTATGTTTTCCCCCTTTTCAAAAACTGGATGAGAAGAATACTGCCTTTGAAAAACTGTGCTTAGTCAGGCACTTGAGTTCTCTTGGAATCATGATCACCTCTCCCTGTGTCCCCTTTGGGTGCTCGAACCCAAGGCACCATCACCTACTGCCTCCACGATCGCTCCTCGCCATGGGCCCTGAAGGCTCATCTCTTATGCAGTGTGGTCCCCAAGCCACAGGTCAGCCACAAGGAGCCCGTTACAGAAGTCACACACAAGCACCGCCAGGTAACAGTGGGGGCCTAGCTCCAGGACCCCTCCTCCCCCAGAATGCTAAAATCCATGCTTACTCAAGTCCTGTATGCAAAAATGGTATCGTATTTCACATGACCTAAACACATGCTCTCATATAATTTAATCTCTAGATTATTTATATCTAATACCACGTAAATGCTGTGTAAATAGTAGTTATTCCGTACTGGGTAGGGAATAATAACGAAAGAAAGTCTGTACATGTTCAGTACAGATGCAACCTTAAAGACACTAACTACATAGCACTGGTCACCAAGAATGGGTTTTTTTCCCAAATATTCGCCAACAGCAATTGGCTGAGCCCACCCCGTGGGCTCCGTGGATATGGAGGGCCAGCTGTAAAGTCCTTTCTCTCCCAAGGGTTCCCTTCTTATGTAGGCCCTCATGGTCCCACTTGCATCCTTCTTTCTTACCCTCTCCACTCGCCCTCCTCAGATACCAGGACAGCTACCGCCTCCCCTGCCCAGGTCTTAGCCAGCTTCGTTCCCTCTGTCTAGGTACCTTTCACAAAATACAGTGCTACCTCAGGTCACACACTGCAAGTATAGGATGACGGTGCTTGCAATTCGGTTGTGACCAGAATCGTGAAAAGAATTAAGTTCACGAATCAAGGTACCACTGTCCCTCTAAGACTCCCTCGTTTATTCACCGTTCTGTTCCAGTGCCCTGTCTAAGCTGCAAAATACCCTCATCTCTTTCAACCCACTTGACCCAGTGTCTTGTTTTTCCAAGCTCAGACCATGCTCGGTCACTGACATATTTTAATTTCCCTCTCTGCAAACGTGAACAGAGGTCCAAACAGAAGCTGGGTTCTTTTTTAATTTTTATTTTATTTTTCAGTATGCATGTGTATCCCCGCTGCCTAGAATTGCTGGGTCCACGCCAGCACACAGATGCTAAGTAAATCGTTGATGGATGACTAAATAAACAAATTGATCTGTACTTCTGTGACGCTTTATTCGCACCTGTCAACTTTAGAAAAGCTCATGCCTCCACAGACTGCAACTAGGTTCAGGATCATTTCAAAGATTAGACTGGATAACCAATTAGTCGTGAAAAAGTAGCCAAACAGGTGTCATTTATAGTTCCTTAACTGGCAAAGCAGATCAATAAACAACTAGCTATTCCTGGTTATTTACAAGCAAGAAACTGTCCTGACCACCAAAATAAATAACGAGACCTTCCTACAAGACGTTTCAAAGTATAAGCTTTTGCTGATAGCTAACTTTTATTTTATTTTTATGAGTAAATGTCTGCAGTACACAATAATACATTCCTCCAAGACAGCTGATACATGGACAGAACACGTTGATTATTTTTTTATCCCCTCCCTTCCAACTCCTGATCCTCTTCCATTCTACAAAAGATTTATCTCCCTATTTCCTATTAGCTATCTTTTATTTTGTTCGTTACTTACATTCTGGGTTTCTCACGTAAGAGAAAATATGACATATTTAAGCTTGTGTGTCTGATTTATTTCACTTAACACTACGGTTCCAAAGTGTATCCATCCTCCTACAAATGACTTAAGTTTATCCTTTTCTGGCAGAGTAGTACTCCACTGGGTATAAACCCCACACTTCCTTTATCCATTCCTCTGTTGAAGGATATACAGCCAGCTTCCAAGATTTAGCTCTTTTTAATTGTGCAGCTATAAAAATGAGTCTGCATGGATCACAAGATGGTATGGTGCACAATAAAATATTTGGAGGAGTCATATTTGAATGTGTCATTTTTGAGGAAATGGCTTCAACACCTGCAGACTTCTCCAGGGCACCCCCATCAGGAGGGAACCTAGGGAAATATTAATGGTGTGGGGAAAGATGCCTGTTCAAAAAGGGACAATAACTCAAACATCTGCAAACTCTCAAAAACATCCAGGAATGCTGTGTGTTCAGAAAGCCCTTACTCTAGAATGATGTTACACCCAGCCTAATGCCCTAAAGCATGGATTTAAAACAAGGAACCCATGGACCAATCAAGTGGTCTGTGAACTTGGATGATGGAAAAACAAAAAAATCCCTATATATTTATAAACCTTTGACTACAAGTTAGCACTGCCTTCAATCATAAATGGTTAGGCAACAAACAGAAATATCTGTAGAGCGTGTGACTTTCGCATGAAGAGAAATTGCAGTTATTTTCATATCACACATTAGTATCTCAAAATATTTTCCAGCTCTCAAAACAGTGGTAGCTGCTAGACCTTGTAATTTCATGAGTTGATAAATGAGCATATATATTATTATCTAGAAATCTTAAAACATTTCTTACAGCTATTTCACTCCCAGCCTTGGGTAACCCTTTTTTCTACATCCGAGACGGGGTCTAGATGGCTCACCAGGCAGCCGCAGCTACCCCAAACACTACACAGCAAAGAATTCTGGTAAAAATAGAGGTGCTAATGTGAGCAAATCTATGGCATTAGCTTCCTCTGGCATCTCTGGGCTGGAGACTTCCTGCAAAGGGTAAGAGAGAACACCAGGGTCTCTCTGTACTTCACACTCTTTTTAGCAAGACTGTAGCAGATACACAGCAACTGCAGATACAAACAGCTCAAGCTTGGCGCACGTTAGTCTCCTACACGAGATGGTAACATACAATGGTCAAGCATAAAGAAGAGTCAATAAATAAAACGTCAAAAGATGCTGCTCAAGCATCCGTGCCGCCTTCATATGCACTAAGACGTGAGGGACACGGGTCTAATTCCTGGGATTTAAGATGTGAAAAATTCACTAACCCTAAGATACAAAGTATGTGATCTAACAGACATTCCAGTGTTATTACCAAAGTAGTCTCACTCTTTTTTTTTGAATTCTCTCTCTCCCTCTCCATCTTCTTCTCCCTCTATCTACCTCTGCCTCTCTTTCTCAAACACAGGACCTCCATATGTTGCACAAGCTGCTCTTGAAGTTCTGGACTCAACAGATCCTCTTGTTTCAGCCTCCCAAATACCTGGGACTATAGGCAACCACTACCACATCCACCTAACATTTTCCTATTTTAAGTAAAGAAAAGGATTTTCTTCCCCTTTACTCGTGGAGCAGGAATACTGGAGCTCTTCTCTCCATGCCAGAGAAAGCATGTATCAGCTGTATCGGCTCCTCTGTTAAATGGAGCTTCCTCTGTCGGCACTTACTAAGTGATGGTAGAAAACGGACCCATCATTTCGATCCTCTGGTGTTGCGTAACACCGCGAGACTGTTCCTAAAGCACGCCCTCATCCATTTCCTTAAAAACACTTAAAGGGGACCGAGGTAACCTTTTAGGATGACAGAAATGTTCCACATCGTGACTGAAGTAGTGGAAACATGAGTGTATACATTTGTCAAAACTCGTTGAACCATGTGCTTCGAACTGTTGAGAGCTTTATTACATTTAAAGTGTTCCTCAGTAAAGCTGACTTAAAACATCATTTCCTACTAATCTTTAAATCATGCTTCCCCTTTCCAAAAAAGAGAACATTTCAGTTTAAATTTTCAGTTCCGCTCTCGGTGGTGAGGCTCTGAAGTCATCCTGTTAGCATCCACACATCCCGCAGGCAGCCCCGCGCCCCTTGAGGAATGACTAAGTGAGACGGCAAGCAGAGCAGGAAAATCTCCAAAGCACAGGCGCCGTGCTCCCAAATCTTCCTTCACTGGAACTGAAAACTGTACCGCCCAGCTAACAGAAAAAGGGACTTGTCACTGGTTTACTACAACTCCCATTCGCACCTACTAAGAAACCTTATCTCTGAACTTGCAAAATCCTAGAAGGTAAACACTGTCATCTCACTATTTTACCGATCGCACATGAGTAGTACAGTAAGACCAATCTATAAAGCCAGTGCTGGTTTAGAACCGAAGTCCCATAAATCTGCTCTAACTCAAACACATGTGAGAGTCCCCACAAAGCCACCAAGTCCAACAAGCTGGATATATAATCAGATGCAAGTCCAACAAGCTGGGATATAAAATAAGATAGCAGCTTTCTTCACCTACAAGGTTGATTGGTTTGTTTGTTTTGAGAGAGAATCTCACTGTATAGTTCAGACTACCCTTGGACTCACTATTATAGCCCAAACTGGTCTCAAACTCACAGCAATCCTCCATCCTCAGCTTCCTCAGTACTAAGATTACAAGCAGGTACCACCATCCACAGCTATCCTCAAGATTTGATCCATTGGTTTCAATATGCATAGGGGCATGACACAAAATTGGAGTTAGCATTTCTATTCTGACAACAGCCAGCTGATCTTTGAGTCTCAGATCTAAACTAAAAGATTGTCCATGCTACAAGGCAAGTTAGCAATCATGATTAAAATTCCATCTGAAAGGGCGCTCTGGGCTTCAGTGATTCAGCACAGCACAGCACTGATCCTGGGATAAACAAAGGTGACATTTCCACTCTGGAAATACTGTGATACGTCAGGCCATCTCCACCAACTTCAGCACTCCGAAGGAGCTCATCTGTTTTCTAACTCGTTCCACTCCACCAGCTACAATTAACACAAGTACACACATAATTGGAAAATAATCTTCCACAGAAGGCACTTGGACAACAGCCGTAAACATTACCAGCTCATAAATGTCCTCTTCTGGCTGTGGGACGTAGAACTGCATTTTGTTTTCTATCAGAAATTTTAGACGCAGGTAATGAGCAGAATGGTCCAGCTGATGTGTCTGGGAGAAAAGGAAAAGAAAATGTCAGTTCAATTGCAAAGAGCAGGTAGTAGTCCTCCACCAACCGAGCATCTCGTCTCCCGGGGACAACAGAGATTTGTTATGGGAAGCAGGATTAAGGCTTCTACGCCTTTTAAAAGGTTCGCGGGGCCGGGGATATAGCTCAGCAGGCACAAGTGCCTGCCTGGAAAGCGCAAGGTCCTGAGTTCGATTCCCGGTACCCTAAGTAAATAAATAAAGGTTTGCACCCCCAAATTGGGGATTTATAATCATCCCCGTTGAGCTCATCCTACGATTCAGTGGAACAAACTTCTCCTTGTTCGATTCACAGTGCTTCTCGGCGTTGGATCTTCCAATCAGAAAATATCAGACCAAACAGGCCCTGACATAGAACTCCATTCAGGACACAAGTGACTCAGGAAAAGTGACCAGACAGGTAGAAACACGTTTACAGTGAGAGAAAACAGCTGTGCCCAAGCAAAGTTTTCTTTTTAAACCATGTGGGGACAGAAGTTGTTAACAGTTCCTATGCAAGGGCTTTGGCTGCAGATAAGGCATAAGGTAGCAGTCCTCATTTATACACCCCAGAGGCGAGCGAAAGGCGAGCACCCAACTTTGGGGGTGCACTGAGTGCTTTGCTCAAGGGAAATGGCTCGAAAAGAGTCAGCAACTCAGATTTCCAGAGCTTCTCCTTTGGTCCAGGATGGGGCAGTTGGGTTTTGTCTATTTAAAAAATGCTTGGCTTGATTTTGGTAAACAGTAATCGTGATAATACAGGTTTAAAAATAACCCTCAACATATGGTCAAGAAGATACAGAGGTAAAAGGAAGAAAATGCTCTTCAAAAGTTACACTGGCAACATGAAAACACTGCTAAAGTATTTTAACTGTTTGATTTTTTTTTTGTTTTTTCAGGTCTGGAGATGAAATCTAGCCCCTCAAGCATGCTAGGTAAGTATTACCACTGAACTCTACCTCCAGCCCTTAAACTGAGTATATAAGAATGCTTATCTTTTAATGATACATCCTAAAGTGCCAATAAATAAATGAGAGGATGGGTAAAATTTGCTTCCAAAATAATCCGGACCAGGAGGATGGAATGAGCGAATGAATACATGAAACTTGGTTTGATAATTACAGATTCCAGGTAATGGATACAAGGGGATTTACTACATTATTCTCAACTTCTATACCAACTTGAAATTTTTCATAAACATAAATTCTCTTTACCTTCGAAGCTCTACCAACGAGAATTGTCTCAAAATAAGTGAAATGAAAAAAATTTTTTGAGTCAGAGTCTCACTATGTAGTCTAGGCTGGCCTCAAACTTTGTATGGATCCTTCTGCCTCAGCCTCTGGAGTGCTGGCATTAGAGGCATGTGCCACTGTGCCTGGCTTAATGAAATTCTATTTTAACTGGTTCAGTAGTCTTCTCACTTACTCTATCCTCAACAGGTAGGGACTGAATCTAAAGTCTTCACTCTGAGTTAGTCCCCAGCCCTTTTCTTAAAATTTTGTGACAAGGTCTTGCTAATTCACCAAGTTGCCCAGACTGGGCTCAATCTTGCAATGTTCTTGCCTCAAGCTCCAGGTGCTAGGACTACAGTGGTGCTCTATCTGCATTTTTCTTAAGGCCAAAGTAGCTGTATACTACTAATTCAATCCTGCCTAACAGACTCCTAACTGTTCCAGACGCCATCAATGTAAAGCAGAAATCCAAGCGTGCATGCCGTCCCCAGGAACGTGTTATGCAAGAGCAGTGTGCGCTACACAGCCAGTGGGGAAGTGGTGGTTTAGTATTTTAAATAAATACACAAATGCAGGTCAGACATCCCTTGCTATCACAAAAGCACATTTCTGGAAAGCCAAGATCAGTTCCCTCTGAACATGCAGCAGGGTGATAAAGAAGTTTTTTATCAGTGATTCTTCGGCACCCCCAACCTGTATCCTATTCCCAAGTAACGTGATGGTCTGAGCCTGCTGCGCAGAGCAGACACCATTCCACAAACACATTCCCAGGCGCCGACTCGCATCCTCTCCTGTCTGTTATCTGACAGACCCAGGGACGCTGAAGTCAAAGATAATAAGGGCTCATGGGCAAGCCCAGGGACACAAAAGACAGGGACGTTCTTAGGCGCACTACCTACTGCCTGCAGGAGGCCCAGAAAAATAAACAAACAATAACAAAACAGCAATATTTAGGCTGATACAACAAGCAAGGGAAGTTTTCCTCAGAGATTGGGGGCGGGGCTGTAAATGCTTCCCACCTACCCAGGTCCTCACTGAAATCTTTAATTAGAAACAGAATTTTTCGTTCACCATCTGTTCCTGACTAAGGCGGAAGGGAACAAGAAGGCAGTTTCATGGGTCTTAGCAACAGGAACAATTCGGCTGGAAGCCTTTCTGTCATCATTAATAAACATTTGGGATACTCTTAAAGACACTGCCACTTGAACAAACTATCTTGTGGAAATCAGTCCTGAGTAGCAATCTTAAGAAAATTCTGAGAATTAAAACCAAAGTGTGAAAGAGAGGGCACCCTGTCAGATACCACAAGACTTCAGGTGGTCTTGGCGCCATCTGGAGACGCCAGTCTCCCTTCAAGGCTACGGTGCTGAGCCCCTTTCCTTGGTACAGCAGGGGTGCCTCACTTATGTTGCTTAATGTGAGGCAGAGAAAAGGATACTGAGTATCACAACGGTAATAAGGGTACTTTCTGCCAGATCCCCAAGCATGTTTTCCAAACTTTCTACTACAGTAATTCCTTGAGAACTTTAAAATGTACAAATGATCACATGCAACAGGTCTGACTTGGAACCCAAGAGACCTGAGTTTGGTCAGTAAATAGTTCTAACAACTGGACACTGGTTCAGCATTCCAGTATGCCTTCTCATTTTGGTCAAAGTTTCTGATTTATGAACACTCATAGTTACAGCTGGCCTAAAGTAAAGGGCAAATCCTAATGAACTAATTAAATCAGATCTTAGAACTCTCAAAAAGCCTATGTTCCTCAGAATCAAAAAAGGAAAACCAACCAACCACATTCACAATGCATCTTTGTGCAGTAGGAGCTACAAATGTTAATGAATATTTTAGGAAAGTGATTCTAAATATGTGACCTGCCTTAGACTTATAAAACATTCAAGAGAAAAAAACTTCCCAACAAGAAATTCAGTTAGAAAAAAACTTACATAGTACAGACTTGCCTTCCAGCGTACGTTTACTTAAATTACTTAGCATTTGATTCATTTTGAGGCAAGGTGGCTATAAGTTATACCATAGCATAAATATTATCATACAGCAATTTTAATTCAGTTGGCATAATTTTTTTAAATTAGTATGTTACATAACTACTTCAGGAGAAGAAATAACAAAACACAATGTAGACATTTTCAGTAAATAACTTGAGCCATTAAAATAGATAACAATTTATTGACTTAGATTTTTTAACCCATCCTGTTTTGTTCTTCCATTTCTCTTCTTTCAGTGAAACTCTTCTGGGAAATATACAAGCTTGAAGTTCTTGAATATAGAAACCCACCACACAAATACACACAGTGTTACTGCAGAATTTCCAGCAATTTTCTCCCCCCTCACCTTCAAAGTGAGCTTTTACTTCTTAAACACCAGAAGCTGTTGGAATATGCAAAGCCATAGTAGACCAACACAATGAAAGCATAAAATAAAAGTGACATCATGTCAAATATGAACAGTATCAATGAGTATGAATGAATGGTTGTTGCAATCATAAGAATAGATATATAGATCACCTATAGATCAACATAGTTACCTGCTACGTTTAGCAATAAGCATCACAGTAACATCTGTAACATGAAATGTAGATCTTGAAACATTTACTATACCAGAACTTGACTGGTGATCAGATGGCGGATGGCAAACTGATGGGAAATGATGTGGATCAGAGAGAATAGGAAAGAGAATGAGCTGAATGCAAGAGACAGAAGAAAGAGATTGATTATTAAATATTAGAAAAAGCATCCATCACCAACGTTGAGATGACAGTTACAAAATAAAAGACATGCATTCTTACATCTCTGCTTGCAATCCCTCCTTCGAAAATATCAACAACAAGAACCCTACTCACCATCATATTAGGACACTAATGACCTGTGGCACTGTTTCCACCTTATCACTTTCTTTCCACTAATTACAACAAAGTGTTTTCCAAAGAAAGGGCAAGCTTAGCAAGACACCTGGTTCTCAGCACACTCTGTAATTTATCCTACATAGATGTCTTTCCAGAGAACACCAGTGTCGCAAAGTGCAGCAGCAAAGTTTTCTGTTTTTAAACTCATGACATGTAAGCTTGTTTCATACCACATTCTCTTTCTTTATATTTCTATGTTGTTGGAAAAAGAAATAAAAACCCAGGGAAATTTGGGCAGGATGACTTTTCATTGTTAGAGGAAGGGATCTGTTGTACCTTAGTGAGGTCAAAAGAAACGTTTCAGGTGAAAGAAGTAGGCACATAGCAGTGACGGCCAACCTTTTATAGCTTCCTGTGATAACCAACAGCCCACTGCAGCACGCGTGCCATGGATTCGCCACCACCATTATAGGGGAATAGGTCCGCCGCATTATTTAAAGATGATACTGAAATAGCAGTGACAATATTATCCTTTATTCCCTTAGTTTCTACCCAACTAGAGCTTGAAAAGTACTTCAGATTACCCAACCATTCACTGCCCCATTCACTGATCAATTTTCCACCAATCAGTGGTTACCAGAAAACCACTGGGGGTTAACCTTGGATTCCTGATGCAGTCTAAAGCCGCTGACCACAGAGCTCCCTAAGGCCAGGCTGGTCCCTAAAAACAGCGTCTAGAGCCTGACTTCAGCAAAAAGGCCAGAGTCCTACTTTGAACACTTTTGAGCTGCAGATCTGAGAATAATTCCCACTGCTCTGCAGAATATTAATGGTTCTCTAAAAAGTCATGCTAATCTATAAATAAAGCAATGCAGAAATCCTCAGTAGACCTATTTTGTTAAGTAATTAAAATGAGAAATTACGAACAGCGATACCATTATCTTCAAAAGCTAGAACTCATGTACGTGGAGGAATCGAGGTATGCAAAACAATATCGTGTATTTTTAATACCTATGTGTAGGGGCTACTATTTGAAAGGCTGATTCCAGCTGGACTATTCCATTTTCCCCACTCAGAGAGAGCCATATTTTTTTTTCTTTAAAAAGGCTCAACTGATTTGTTTCTTTAAAAATACAAAAAAATTTGAAGTATTTTATTTACATTAATGTAATATCTTTTATTTTAGATCTTTTAAATATAAATATACACATATAAGCTATATAAATAACGTAAAATATATAAATAATAAAAGATATAGGAAGTATATATATACACGCTGATTGCAGAACTACAGAAGTACTTGTCAAGGTAGTGAAAGTTATTCAGTATTTACAAATCATGTGTTGAATGAAGGATTTTTAAAAACATCATTTTATCCATCCAACTCCTTCTGGAATAAAATTATGATAGAAAAGTTTTTTACTTTCCTTTTTATTCTGGTTTAGGGTCTCATTATGTAGTTCAGGCTGTCCTCGAGCTCACTACGTTGCACAGGCTGGAATTACAGCAATCCTCCTGCCTCAGCCTCCTGAGTGCTGGTGCATGGCCAGCTACTTTCCCTTTTGCAGCCAGTTCATTCCCCTAAGAATATGTTGTAGACCTCCTGAGCCTGGTGAACTGATGGAGTGAGAGGGGACAGACCAAGTTTGGAACAGAGACTTGGGCTCAGTCTCTCCTTGGCATCAGACAGTGATGCAAGTTCAGGCAAGTAACTAAAGCTCTCTGAGCCATAGGATAGGGAAAGTAACTGCTCCTCCTTAGACTGCTCTTCACTACAAAACAGGACCACGATGCTATTAGTTACAGCATTAACGATAAAAATGAGCACACAAGGAAAACTCCTTCTTTCCTCTCCTCCTGCCCTCACTCAGGGGCATTCATCTGCTGCCCCTCAGAGAGAAGAAATGAAAACAGGGTGACCTTGAAAAAGGTCCAGACTTCTCTACTGCTCAAATTAAAGCAGGGGAAACAGGTTCAGCCTCATTCAGTGTTCACGGGAAGAGGAATCCTTCACCATGAAGGTCAAACTTGTGCTCACTTCAGTTATTCTCCATTTTAAAGAAGCCTTGGGTCAATTACTGACTCAAGAGCAGGTCACAAGACAGTCCCCAGAATACGATGCCGTCAAATACACACATATGTGTTCTGTAGGAGCAAAATGGAAAGACAACCATCAAATGTTGATAGCGGTTATTTTGGATTCTGCAAGTAAGGTGCTATGTGACCCTTTAATGTCCTGCTTTATTCTTAAATTTTCTAGAACGTGTGCATGAATGCCCTCATTGCAAGTGTATCACGTATGCTCACTGAAAGAAGCTACTTAGTTGAGTTCCTGTCCTTACAAAGCGGAGGAAGCCACTTACATTACTAAGCATATTATCACAAAGGGATGCGATGCTGCTCTGAAATGGAACGCAGGTGCAGTAAGCGCCCTCTTCTCCTGAGAGACTGAGTTTCCATCTGCACCCTATGAGATTCCCCACCCCCATTCTGATCTTTCTTAGAGAAACAAAGTAGCTCCGTACCTTGCAAATCAGCTCCAAGGTGTCCCGGGCAGTGTCCCCCGGTCGGACAACAGTCAAGGCTGGCTGATTATTGGGCAGACAGAACCAGGATGGAGTGAAATACTCGTGGACCCAGATGTCACAGTCAGGATTGTGCTGGTGGACGCTAGGTAAGACCACTTCTTTCTCCCTCTGTAATAAGAAGTAAAGTTAGCCGCGTGGCAGCAGACCAGCTCCTAGCACCTCAGACCTGCACACTACACACTGCCCCTGGGGATTATCTATTCCTAGCAAAACAGCTCAGAACAGAAAAGATGCCAGAGGGGGGCGCAGGGAAGCCCCTGGAGAGACAGAAGCTACTGAGAAAAGAGCTTAATGGTAGGAAGCAGACAGGAAGCATCTGACCTCAGACCCAGCACAGACGCCCTCCTGGCCTGTGGCATTGGTAGCTGAGCACAGCATGAATGAAGGGGTCACTGAAATTCAGATGAATGCGGGAAATGGGTCACTCATTCAGCTCAGCTTTAGTGTCATTATTTCTCCTACAAACTCATTTTAAGTTCTGAGTAGAGAACTCCATCAAGAAGAATACCTGCCATGTGACGTTTATACTTCGAAGCAACGAGGCCCCAAGGAAATTGTTTCATAAAGATAACGCTTTACCACTAGGTGTGGAGCGGTAGAATCATTTCTGGGCTTTCCTTGGGCGTCTACCAAAACAGTGGGACAGAGACAGCTCCATTTCTCAGAAGTTCTCAGGGCTTCACAAGCTCAAATATTGTATGGGTTCTCGTCTATGAAAACCCCAAGTAGAAATAAATGAAAGAGCAAGATCAAAGACAGGCACTAGGAAACAGGGAGGGAAATCTTTTCCAAGTCAGTCAAGAGGACCAAGGGAGAGAGAGAGGGGGAGGAGGCGAGGGGGTTAGTAGACACAAAAAGAATTGCAGTGTGTTCGGTACACGTACCGACTCCCCACAATGAATGTAATCAGTGTGTACTGCAAACATGAACAAGAACAGAAAGAAAAAGGATGAGCCAGTGGTGAGGCCACCTAGGAGACCGTCCTCGCTGTGCCCTCTGTCACTCTGCCTGAGGACTGGGAGTAGCACAAACCTTGTGCACGGGAAAGTGCTGCTGTATTTACTTAGCACCTGAGTTAAACCTAATCCCGACAAATGGCCAACGCAGAAAATGCCCCATAGACTGATGAAATATTAGGAAACCAGTGAAATAAGAAAAGATTTATGTTAGATTTCAGCAATACAAACATACCAGTGATGATCAGTGAGCATCAGGTATTGGTTTATAACTAAGCCACTGGCTGGTAAACATGTATCTATAGGTTACCAAGAACAAGGCCGACTCCAGTAATGTACAAGAAGAAACACATTTCAAAATAAAGACTAAGAGGTGGTAACATAACCTTTCCATACATTAAGAGAAAAACCCACAGGATCCAACAATGTGGGGGAGGGGGTTCGGTAGAGGCCACTAAACTAAAGCCACTTGCAGAAGACAATTTCAGGCCTGCCTTTGAATACTGCTACTTTCGCAGATAAGTTAGACCCCAGGGAGGGAATTGTCAAAAAGCAATCAACTTGCCTATATCCCATTAACCATAATTGGAATCTTCCCACTGCTCCCACGTTTCACATTAAATAAGTGCCTCTTAGCACTGGATCAGCCCACGTTTTGCATCTAAACTGCTTTTTGTAAGCAAGGCATTATAACAGGGGCAGGAGGAGGGAAAAAAGAGGTATCCTGAAAAAAAAAAATGAAAAACCATAAAAGCTACACAGAAATCCCATGGAAAATCTTTGGCAGTTTCCCCAGTCTGCGTGCATGAGGGGATATCCCGTTATTCTAAGAGTATAATAACTGTAATCCCAGCATGCTGGTAGGCTGAAGCAGGAGGATTACAAGTTTTAGCCTGGACAGCTTAGTGACTCAGTGAAACCCTATCTCAAAATAAAAAATACAAAAAGGCTGGAGATACAGCTCGATCTGCGGGTCCTGGGTTGAAGCTCTAGGACTGCAAAGCAAAAGTGAGCAGTGCGGCCATATCAAGATGCATTGGTCCACTGCGGAGATGACCATGCTTGGAATATATACAGTCATGATAATTTAACTTCATCAAATCTCAGCACAGATGCTCCATGGCTGGGTACTTCCAAAGACAGCTGCCTTTGTATCTTTGATGACACAATCTGTGAGCGGTCTGGGTCAGAAAGAAAGAAAAGGCTTTCCCCTTCCTTTCTTCTCCCTCTCCCTCCAGCAGCCAGAACTCCCCACTGTGCTTTGGCTTCTGAGGCTCAGATCCTTCTAGAACCCAGGCTGAGCCATCGCTGGGTGACACTGCATGGTAACACGGCAACTCAGAGCTGAGTTCTGTCGTACTGATCCTGAGAACCACGGCCTCTCACCAAGGTCACGTTATCAACACTAGAACCACAAACAACGGGGCTGCTGGTATCACCACTGCAGTGTTGAAAACTAAGGGTAACCATTTACTTAGAGAATGAAAAAAAGCGGTCAAGGAAGGCGGGATAATAATATGACTTCAGGCTTTCAATCAGAGCAGTCTGAAAACTCCCATGAAATCCAAGCAAAAGGCTGAACCAAGTCTCTGAATCTTTAATTGACTACTTAGCTAGGGAGGCAAATGTGGCTTTTAAAAAGAACATACTATCAGAATCGTTCTTTGAAATTAATGGGAGCAAAATAGCATGTGTGGGCAGAGAGCGAGGGCAATAAGAACCTCTTGGGAATAAAAGTTGTACATAAAAAGGAATTAGCAATGACATAAAATATTCAGCTACCTGAGAACTCCCATTTTCCTCATATTCTACTTGGAAACTTACACCTCAGATGATAAGTATGGAAAATGTTATGTCAGCAAGAGAATGTTCTTATTATCATGAAGTTTTAAACACAAGCTGATTCTCCATCTCACGTTGACCCGTTACATAACTTTCCCAAACCGATCCTTTTGGTTTTTATATGGAGTGTACTTAATTTTAGTATCCTGAGAAACCAATGCATTGTGCATGTGCTGATGCTCACGCAGTACTTTTAGAAAAGGAACACGTGTTTATTTTTACCTTGCCATCTGGAACAATGTCATCAAATATTCCCTCTAAAGATTTCTTTACAGCGTCGGTTCCCTCTCCAAACACCTGCACATACAAAAGGATCAGTTTAAAAAGAAATCTGGGCAATGGGGCAAATGCAGCAGGGGAAGGAGAAGGGAAGTGGGCAGAGCTATTAGAAAACATTACAGCAGTTTTCAGATACCCCTACAGCAAATCCAAAAGCAGGTCACGGTATTTATGGTGGCAGACTGTGAGAATCATGTCCCTGTCTATCCATGACTTCCCACATCTTTAATAATTCAAAACCAAGGAAAGAGTTTGCATTTCGAGCTGGATAATTCATCTAAATTTAGAAAAAAAGAAAAACTCACAAAAACCACTGAAGAATTTCTACGGCAAACTCTTGATCAGATACTTATAAGTAATAATCAATTTGCTTTTTATTATTTCCATAAATAGAACTGAGAAGATACAGTATTTATAGCATTTTTAACACAATATGACAGAGAAGTCATTTTTATTTAACAAAAAAAAGGAGAAAGAAAAAATTGTCCGTGGGGTACAGTGGAACATATCTGTAATCCCAGCTACTTGGAAGGTGAAGGTAGTTCAAGGTCAGTGTGGTCAACTTAGTGAGGCCCTGTCTCAAATAAAAATTTTCTTAAAAAAGTTTAGGAAAATAGCTCAGCGGTAGAGTGCCCCTAGATTCTAGCCCTCAAGGTGAAGAGGTAAAAAAACTAGGTAACTGTCTATCCTGTGAGACTTAATGGAGTCTGGTCACATAAAGACATGATGAAAATCATAATAGGGTACTGATGCCAGTAGCTAATCAATGCCCCAACACATGGACGCAGGAATTTTATGTATTAGTTCTAAACTGAGCATGTACTACTACAATAATATAAATGGTTAAAAAAATAAAAGGCTTTTCTTTCAATGTAAGTGAAATATTCAGAAACAATTTTTGTGCATTTCAGAGTATTGAATTAATGAATAAATTTACATCAGACTGTTTATGGCTAAGCAAGAAGTTTTTTTAAGAACTCTTACTTTAAGAAAGGAATATTTATGTATTACAATATTCTGTGATTTTGGCTTTTGTTTTTGGTTAGTTTTTGTTCAAAAGATCATGAAAGATTCTCTAGACTTCATTTAAATTCAGGCATATATATCAAACACAGGTTTGTAACATAACCTGGTACGAACAACAGAACCACACAAACCAAGCATTTTGATGGAACCCAAGTTCAAACTGGGAGGTCTCGACCTGTGCTGACAGAGGGGGTCAGAGTCACCTGTAGAGACTGAAGATCAATACAAAATGATGCCAGCACCTCCCGTTAGGAGGGACAAATGCTGGCTGCTATTGTCCTCCTTCAGGTTGAGTGGAGAAGCTTCAAAGTCCCCTAAGTGGCTGGTCTGAGCACACACTGACTCTCCCCTAAACATTCTTCTTCCTATTTATGCAGTGCAAACCCCACGGTAGCAAATTCTACCTCCTACCCTCCCCAAAGGGCACAGAACGAACCACAAAGCTGTTCAGTCGCATGCTCTTTTATTGTTTGCTCAACTGGCACCTGCAGGTTCCATAACAAAAAAAAATTCCACATTTAAACAATGAGCATGTTAGGTAAGGAACTTAGCACAACAGTGTTCAGGACTAATCTCTTTTTAAACTTTATTTCTTCAGGAAACTAATAGCTGGAATTATCAGCCCAAATGGGAAGGAGTCTTCCTGTAAAGTCAGTCAGTGCCTTCTCATTGTCCACAATCATGGAGCATGAGCAGCTCACACTGGTCATCTTGGTTAGAACTTCCAAAACGCTTACTGCCTGACTGTCCAGCCACTGTCCTCACGATTTAACATTCTCCTTCTTCCAAAATGACTATAAATGCTTCTGTTCCTTTAGTCCCTGAAATGGAAACTTCTGGGGATACTCAGTTCTCAGAGTCAAAAGGAAAGATCACAATAACAGTGGAGGAGGAGTTTCCCAGAAGTAACACCAGCAAAGCAGTCTTAGCTCATAAAGAAGAACTGATGGATAAGAGCAGGGCTGCAGTGTATAGTTACCAGTGTCCCATACTGCATCAGTCTAGGTTGTCCATTCAGGGTGTTCTGAGATCCCCTTCCAGCCCTCATACCCAAGCAGATATGGCCAAAGCAGGGAGTAAGCAGTCCTAGCAGACTGCAGCTCCTCCTTCCCATTGGCAGAGGAATGCCAAGCCCAGAAAGACAGACAAAGACACAATCAGAGGTCCCTGGAGACTGCCTTCAATCTGGTGCCAGAAGCAGATTCAGTGCAACAGCAAGCAGAAACACCAAAAGGACACCCAGGGTTTAGAGGCAGACTTATTTACGTCAGTGGGCACTGATCATTCCCAGCATATCAGGCCCTGATCTCTCGTGGTCGAGGGCTTATATGAGATAAGCAAGCAGATGTAGAGGCAGAATGGCTTGTCAATTGGGAATTAGTTTGTACAGTGTGCGTCATAGGGACCAGCTATGCATCACAGTGACCAGCCATTCCTAAGAGACAGGAGCAACCAGATCTGGAACAGAAACTATTACCTGGGTAACTAAGAAACTGAAGTATACAAGCTGGGGAGGGGTGTGTTTTCTGCTACATTCCCCCCACCTTTTAGTTGCCCTGGCAAATCTTTGCTGGGCATATTATTACATGTGATCTTCTGAGACAAGGCCCCTCTAGAATTTAGGCCTGTCTGTCCTGTAACATTACTCTGGTGAGGTAGTGAGGGAATTCATCTGGTCTAGGAGAGTGTCCAATGTGACCTGGGTACTCATCAAATCTTGCTCAAGTGTTTGATTTTTCTATTCTCTTGGGGCTACCATCCATAGAGATTAAGGCAAAAACACACGGGAACAGAAGAAACAATGGGAGCAGGTCTATCTCTGATCTTCCGGGAACACCAAGTAAAGTTTTTCTGGCTGGGGTTGATGCTTCAGTCAAGAGGGGGCTGAGGCCTCTGGATTGGATTATTTTGTGTTTTGGTGGCAGGTTTCAAAATAGCAGTTTGCTGTGCAGATCATCCCTGTAGGAGAGTTTTGGCCAAAATAGCTTAGTCCAAGGTGACCACAGCATATCTAGCCTGTCAGACTTCATTCCTAACAGAGTTATTTCCATCCATAAACAGTGTGTGCTCAGCATCTGTCAGGGGGTCCATTTTTAGAACGCTTCATCCCAGTACAGCATGCCGCACTTGGACAGTTAAGTCTTGGTCTAAGGTGGGCTTGTCAGCTTTCTTCATCGGAAGGACAGTGTGGCTGTTGTGGCACAGAGGCAGAGTGGGGAGGCAGTCCTTAGAGGCCACTGGGAGCCTCTAGGGACTGATAGTCTGAGTAAGCACATAGAAGCCAGTAGCTCCAAGAAATCTGCAGTTTCTTTCTTGTAACCAGTTTCTGCCAAATATTATAGAACAGCTTTTGTGCCTTGTGTCAAGGTAGCTTGAGTGTCACTAATTAGAAGTGCTTTTTCAAAGAGTAAACAAGTTTTTGAACTGCTGGTAGGTTCAGTCCAGGTTAGTAAGCTTTTGAGTCCAGAAATGGTGTCTTTCCATTTAAAGATGAAGAGGGGCTGGCTGACAGGAGCCAACTGAAGGCAAAAGAAGGGATTTTTTTAAGGTCTAGACAGGTGTACCAGCAGGCTGTGGGGGTGGTAGAAGACTGAGGCAATGTATATGGAAGGCAATCATGGCAGCATTGGCAGTTTGGAGATCTTGAACTGGTTTCACAGGCAGGAGAAGTGTAGTGTTTGGTGCAGGTAGGGGTTGGCTTGGGACAGAGCTTGATCACCAAAGGGGCCTGATTGATCGCAAGCTCCAGAAGTGAGTCCTTTGTCCATACTTCAGGAAACGAGTCTCTCAAAATTTCAGGGTTATGATTATCAGGCATTTCAGACTGATGTAGGTGCTGTTCTTCTTCCGGGGGTACAGTAAGAGTCACTATCAAGTCTGGGACAGTGGACCCGAGTATGAGGGAGGCTGGTCATGTCCCAGGAGAGGTACAAGGCACTCAGGCATGTACAGGAATTCATATTTGATAAGGTGTCCATCAATCTCACAGGATTTGCTTTGGCAGAATTTCTTTGCAGTATGGCCTCCAGTGGGTACATGTTCATTGGCTTCTTGCCTCCTTCTTTGAGGTCTGCCAGGAGAGCAGTGCAGTACTGATCTAAGGCTTCATGACCTTCTCTCACATTACAGTCCCAGTTTGGACATGCTTGGGGGAGAACTACATTCACCTAAGCATCAGAATCAACCACAGTGGTGGGGACTTTTCACTTTAACCTGGCTTGGGCCCCATCCAAAATACAGCAGTGTTTTTCAGTATTAAACAGAGTCAGAGGGAGTTGCTGACAGTAAAGCAAGAGGTTATGGTGGAGGAGACAGAACTGGTGGTGGTGGCATCATGACTGGCTGAGCAGTTTGCGGTTGATGAAGAGGCAGATCAGACTCCAGGTCCTCGGGCAGAAAAGGATAAAGCTTTTCTGGCTTGGGCTGAATCTGAGACCTCTCAGATTGCCTTGTGGGTTTGTTTTGATGACTAGGATGTCTTTCTTGTTGCACAGGACACAGGTGCAGAGGCAAAGTGGGAGAGTTTTTAACCCCTTATGGAAACTGAATCCAAGAGCTGGCCTTTTATCTCAGGATTTTCCCAGTTGAAGGGGCTTATGGGAGCAACTCAAAAGCTTTCAAATCTAGAACAGTGCAGAAAGGGTGTAAGGGGCAGCAACTGCAGCCTGCAAGGTGATGATTCTGTTGTTGATGGCAGAGATCTTGCCCAAGGTGATTAACAGTCTATCAGGCTGGTGGGTGGCTGGATGCCTTTCTGTGCTTCCTGTGACATCTGACAGCAGTGGGGATGGAGGCAGCACTATTGATGGCCAGGCCCCAAGGCGAGTCTTTAGTTCATACCTCTGGGAGAATTCTTAGAACTTCAGGATTGCGGTTATCTGTCTCAGGCTGATTCAGGCATCATCTCTTTCTCAGGGAACAGTTAAAGTTGAAAGTGCAGAGTTAAATGAGAGGGAGGCTGACTGGGTTGGTCATGTGTCAGGACCGACAGTCCAATTTTTCCTCAGTCAAAATGTGGAACTTAGAAGGAATTGCTGACAGTCATCTCAGGTGGGCATTAGATGGCCCCTATCTAACCGGGATAGGTGTGTGTGTGGGCAGGGGGTGCTGTGTGGCTGAATGCAGGCAATGGCTGGCTGGAATCAGTTCCATTGGTTGGAAGTAGATGAGTCGGGAGTGGAGAGTGAAGCTACAGGTGTTGGTAGCAATTCCAGCAGCTGATGCGGGTGCCAAGGCAGAATTCTCAGGAAGAACAGGACTCTTCTTTCTTTTTTTTCTTTGAGATGCAGGGAGTGGTTTGGTTTCATTTTTAACTCTGTAAAAGCCCCTTTTCCTGCACTCAGGGACTGTGGGTTTTCACTAATTAGTATTCATTCTATTTCTTTACAGTGTATGTTGTGTATCCATGAACAATGGTGCATCAGACAAAGAGTGGGTGCCCCTCAGAGAGAGGCCATTCAGATGCCCTCTGAAGGGCAGGAGGGTGTGAGGTCTCTGTTATGCCATATGTCAATCACCACAGAACCACAGGTAAGAGCCCAGTCAGCCACCACAACCAGAGCTTCTTGGTCTTCCTGCACTGACGGAGCAGCCCATTGTTTACACTGTCCGTGCCACTTACACATTCATTCACCAGGCACTCAAGAGGCTAAACATTCCAACCCCTTCCCTTGAGGGTGGCCTTAACTAACAAGAGTTGATTAAGATCTTCTTCTGCTTGAACTGAGCAGGACTAACAGACTGACTAACTGCCCCCAAGGGTCTTAATAAAATCAGGCAGGCAGTCAGGCAGGCAGGCAGACAGGCAGACAGGCAGACAGATTGTATCCTCCTCCCTTTGGGGTCCAGTGTGAGCCATTCCAGCAAGGGAGCCAGGAATCCTTCTCCAGACCTCTGAGGGGACTCAAGAAATCTCAAGGGCAAGCCTTCCCATCACGACCTGGAGAGTTCCTTGCTCTATCTGTGAGAACCATGAATGGTGACCAAAGAAGTCAGCACAGTTGGTCTTCCCAGCCAACACACGAGATGCAATGGTGAGCAGAAACACCGAAATAATACCCAGGATTTGGAGGCAGATTTATTTACGTCAGTAGGCAATGATCGGGATCACTCCCAAAATATCAGGCCCTGATCTCTGGTGGTCTGGGGCTTATATGAGATAAGCAAGCAGGAAGTACAGAGGCAGAATGGCTTGTCAACTGGGGATCGGTTTATACAATGTGCGTCATAGGGACCAGCTATGCATCACAGTGACCAGCTGTTTCTAAGAGACAGAAGCAACCAGATCTGGAACAGAAAATATTACCTGGGCAACCAACAAGCTAAAGTATACTGGCTTGGGGGGTGGGAGGGCATTTCCTGCTACATCAGGAGGCTCTGTGCTTAGGGCCGAGTGGCCTCATCATGGAGTCCTGCTCTGTCTTGAAGGCTCAGGATGAACTGTGCACTTTCAGTAGGTCTATAATTATCCAGGGCTTGGAAGGGATGCAGGTGGGAGACTGGAGCGTTATGATAGACTAATTGTAGAGTTCAGTGTTACGGGTGTACATTATCTATTAAAAGTCTCTAGCATAACTAGCTGCTTTGTGTCAATTAGCTGACTTAAAATAACACAGCATCAATAAAAGAACACACACACACACACACACACACACATACACATACCCTTGACTGGGTAACCATGGAAGCAGTCTACATAGAGTTCCTTTTTATCCACTCTGGAACCTACCTGATTGATGCTTGGGCGTCCTTGCTTCTTTTTGGAGGTAGTGTCCAGACCCCAAAGCGAAGAAAACCTGCTCCTTCGCTTGCTTGCAGATCTGGACATGGCCTGAGTACGTCTTCTCACTCCAGTTTCACCAGTACGTGCTGCCACCTGATGATGACAGGGACAGGTAGCAACAAGGTGTCAGGACCAACATCTGCTCCTTGAGGTCCCCACTCAGTCCCACTGTTCAAAAAACCCTGCTATTATCCCAGCCCACACTGAACCCAGTGCCGAAGCACTTCCTCCATGCCTCAGAAGCATGCAAACTTTGGAGCCCTTCGTGTGTGCAAGATAGAAATGTAAGCCTGGCAAACTCAATCTCTACATGAAATCATCACTAAAAATATACATGAACAGTAATAAAATACATATGCTACGTTCCCAAGAAGTAGACATCTTTCCAGTCTCAGGCTTGAACCACAGCATCAAGTTCAATGAGCTGTGGGGTTCTTGAGATTCTCCCCAAATGCTACCGAGCTATTTCTGTATGTTAATGAAAACTCAAGCTGCAGTTAGCAAAAAGAACGGGAAAACAGCACATTTTGGTTCCTGTGATTTCATACTGAATCTAAAATTACCAGTCTCTTCTATTTAGTTATCTTAGGGCATATACAGTCATTTTCTTTATTAGGCAAATAATCTATTGTCTTTTCTTCCTTAGTCAGAGAAGCCCAACGAAGCTAAGCACACAGCTAGGAAGTGCAAGTTGCCTTATTGTCTTGCAGCGGGGTACATGATGAGATTCTGGTGGATAGGGGGTAAGTAGGAAAACTACTTGCATCTTCCAGGAATTGCCTTCAAGAGAAGGGGGCTTCCTATTATCCCAGGCACTCCTCCTGCCTGGTGACAGGAAGGTCCACATTATGGGATAAGGCATCAGATAGAAAAGTCTTTTCAAAGCCAGCCGAGCAAAAATACAAAAGAGAACCTGTGTCCCCAAAGAAAGTAAAGCCACCTCACCAGATGTCCATAACTTAACATGTCCTATGTGTGGGTGAATGGGAAATAACTTGTATTTTTGTTTTAAAGCTACCTCTGTTGAGATATCTGTGAAGTAGTAGCAACTCAGAGAAACATTTCAGAAGGGGACACCCCAAATTTAAAGCTGTTACTGTGATAACTGCCCAAACAGAATCTCTGAGAACCCCATTAGGTTCTTGCAGGCAGAACATTCTGAACTTTATCCTACAGGCTGTAAGCAAAGGCCTAGGAACTGAAGGGAACTTCTGCCCAGAGACCTCAACAGGCCACCCACAGACTCGCCTTTCAACAAAGGGAGGGGCAGGCAGTCCAGCAAGTCAGACTTGAAATGAAACTGCCCCATTGGCAATTTGTTGCTGGAGGTTAATGTCTTGGAACTTACCTGTCATAGATTCTCACGCAGGCAACTCCCTATGTGACAGGTGCCAACTGGCAGCTAGGGATGTTGGCTAATACTCGAGGCCTCCCTAGCAGTGAGCATGCTGGCTCCCAGACAAGCCCCTCTGGGTCTTGACAGCGCAAGCCCCACAGAAGCCCCATGGGTATATAGGCAAGGACCTCCATGTATACTAAAGACAGGGATCAAAACAGCTTATTTGCCAGGTGTTAGGGAGAAGGTTTTGGTCCCAAACGAAGACAGCAAGATAAAGGAGCTGAGACATCTTGCATTTTCTCAGCTTAGTACATTAAAAAAAAAAAAATCAGGCTATAAACACTGGTTGCTAACACACTTGTGGGAGTTTGTGTGAGAACAATCTTACGATTATTCTCAAGGTGTTTTGGGGAACAAAAACCACAAAACAAAAGGCACCATTAAATACGTAAAAACTTTTCTCTATTTTCACCACTTTCTAAGTTTAAGGTAAACACAGGTTGAAAAAGGATTAAATTAGAAAGAGCCGACACACACGCAATTACACTACTATGTAAATACTGAATAAATGGTGTTAAAATGTAAAATCCTAAAGAAAAAGATGCCTATTTGATCTCTTGTCTACCTATCTATTTATAAGCAGATAAATCCAGTCATAGGTAGATTCTCACACACACACACACACACACAGCAGCCGCCGTACATACCGGCTGCAAAGTCAGCCCTATACATCCAGGGATCGAACCAGCCTCAGATTGTAAATATACTAAATAAAAAACTTTCATCTGTCTTGAGCATGTATAGACTTTTTTGTTTTCATCACTAATCCCTAAACAATATACTATAACAACTATTTACATAGCATTTACATTATACTAGGTATTATAAGTAACCTAGAGATGACTTAAATAACCTGGTAACTGAAAAGTAACTCGAGGTTACAATTTTAGCAGAAAAAAAGCTTGAAGGAGAGACCCACACACCCCCAAATACTCTCAGTGACCAGCTGACTGGTTAGTTTAGTCTGTTGAATAAACACTGTATTTAAGGTTGCTATAGCAGCTATTCCCAACTGCTGAGGCCTTGTAAACTGCAAGAGTCACCACTACTCCCAAGACAATAATGAGTCAAAATGAGCAAAGGGATGTAGAAAAAAGGCTGGCAGAAGAACTGTTGGGCCGGAGCTCAAGAGTTTCTCAATGATCTCTGCCCAGACAATGCTGCCCTTTGTGGCCCGCACCTGATTACTCTATCATTCAGCTCATCTGTGCAAACAAGAACAATGATAACCTTTTTTCAAAGAGTACAGCAGGGACCCTTCAGTTAATTGCGCCAAATCACTCAGCATTCCTGGAAGCTCTCCTACTGAATGGGGCCTCCATTGTGGCTCCAACACGCCCCCCCCCCCCCCCC